GACAGTTCTGTTTTTGGAATGTAACGTCATATGTATAAATTTTACAATTATATACTTGATTTGACATCCGTCAAAATTAACCTCAAAATTTTCAAAAAATTCACGTTTTTTTATAAAATGTTGTTCGATGTCTTATTTTTCAGGTCTTCGACCACCATTCAGCACTCAGCTTCGCTTCGTGCCGCAAAATTCGGTCTCAAACCTGAAAAATAATTTGACAACGCACTTGTATCAAAAATAACTATTGCCTAATACATTTTCATTAATGCATCATCTTGAAAATTTTTTTTCCTATGTTGAAGAATACTCAAAAAGGGCATTCAATGTTTTTTACTTTTTTTACTTACAGACGAATTGAATACACCAAAAAGGTATTGTTCCTATGATTCTACTCACTAACCAATCGCTCTAGGTCCTGGATGATAATGCATATCATCCGAAACAGCTCCGGTTGAAAAAAACGTCTCTTCGAGTGGATCATGCTGCGGATCAATAACTTGTATTCCATACTTAGCCAAAACATATTTCGACTGCGATAATGGTACATGCGTATCTTTACCAATACTGTCGCTATCCATTCTTATGAGACTCGTAGTTTGCTGCATGTTGACATTGGTTGACATCATTTAAAAACTACAGAATCACACCCTAGGGATCTTGATTTTTCCGCCCCTTTGCTGTTTATGAAGTTACATAAAAAACACAACTCTCTTTTAGTTTCTTATCGCCCCATGGCTATTATGAAATTATCAAGTTAGGGGGTTACAACCACGCGAGGTGTTTAAACACATAGACAAGGCTAATGCGATACACGCGTGCTGTAATTTGGTAATGGGTTTGTCAGTGAACCACCACCACCACCACCGGCTTTTAGGGGAAGAGTTATGACCTCATTACGGTAATTGCTTGTGGTTGCCTCACGGGGAGACTCGGCGTGTTGCTGTCACGCCGCTATTATTGCGAATTGATATTTTAGCACCGGTGTAGATTTTATAATGACATTTACTATACAGATTAACTAATTTACCTTCGTTTTTCATTCACATATATCAACTAAACAGGGTGTCAGAACTCGCGTCCCAGAGAAAAAATTTCAGGAACACGGAAAAAATATTTAAAAAATTCTATCTGTCAAAAAAATTGACATTTTTTTGACATTTGACATTTCTTTGTCTATTTTTTTAATAATTATTTAGTAAAAGTACAAAAATTGTACCAATAAAAGCCAAATAACAATAAACAGAGTTACAATTTAAGGTACAGTTTTCTTGTTCCTTTTGTAATAGCCTGTAGCAAAAAAATTGGAAAATTATTTTTCCAACAAAAATATATAAAGTATGTTTTTTTTTTAAATGGAAATTACCAAGTCAAAATTTTGGTGAAAAAATTGGTAGCAGCTTGTCTCACAGCCACAAATTTTGTTTGCTCTTAGTTTTTGTCCCTAGAAATTTTGTTTAAAAATTATGGTTGTGTTCAAATTGAGATGTCAAAATTTTGACTTTTATGAATCTTGTGTGCCTGTTTACTCTTTGAAAGCGCTATAATTGAATACCTGAGGACAGACATCATTACCTAAGGTCTAAAGACAGAATTCAGTGCTAATAATTTTGACAGAAACACACCGCAAGTAAGTACAATGTTGGGGACAAAAATGAGATTCTTGCTACAAAAACTTTGAAGAAAAAGGATGTATATACAGAAAAAAGTTATTTAGCAAAAGAAAAAAGTAGGTATTATGATGATTGGCAATAAATTTTGTGTACTTTATTGAAATGATTTCAAAGTTGATGCATTTTATAAATTCTTCTTCAGCTTTAGTTTCAAAATTGTTAAGTTTTCAACTCGTTCCTCAAAAAACGATGCACAAGACACTAATTTAATTGCGTTCTTTCCGACGTTCTTTCTCATTTATGTTTATTTTGTATTCTTGTCGATTTCTTGCCAAAAATTACGAATATTTAGCAAACCTGCATTACAAATTGCGTCTACATTTTAACGGGCCCTTTTTTTAACTTCCTGCTTGCGAAATATTCGTTTCCAAATATCGAAAAACTGTTAGTGTACCGAATTTGTTTCTTTTTTGGTGTTTCGTCTCCAAATTTTCTTAGACGATTTTTTGTGTTGACGTTTAATGACATTGTTTTCAAATTAATTCAAAAAACCGGAACTGCCAACTTCCTTTATTAAAATTACCATGAATGAATTTACTAGTGATGCCAACGTTAAGACTGTTTGGCATTTCCATTTAAAAAAAAAAACAGACTAGTCAAAGTGCAAAATTGAAACTCACATAACTTCGAAATTTTTTAGATAGAATCTTTTCCATGTTCCTGATATCTTGGCTGCCATTTTTTCTGGGGCCCGAATTCTGGCGCACCCTGTATAGCCATCAGTTTTACAGCGTTCAATTACTCACACTAAAAATTAAGAACAGAAATATTACTCATCCTTATTTCTTCATATTTACTATTTTCCTACTCTGGATATCAAAAATTTAATTATCGTTTCGATAATTTCAATACATTTTAAGTAAAAATTATAAAATTTTGTGCACGTGCTATAATCATGAAGTCACTTATCTGTTACACTTAAATTACATGTTTATGAAAGCTTTTACAGCGGTAAGAAGAACAAGTTGTTAATAACTGGTACTGAATAATAAATCTGATTAACCCAAAGTGGATTTAATTCAATATCAACAGCTTCTGCGTAGTTTAAAATATTCCTTCAGTAGACATGTAAACAAAACCGACTACAAAAATCCGTTTGTCGTTTAATAAAATCGTTTTTTTTTAATTTTTAATCTCTTTTATTAATTAAAAATTAAACCAGTTGTGATAATGTAAGTATTAACCTCTAACATTTAAGATTTTAGAACGTGTATTCTAATTTATGAATCTTGACGACTTTTACCCTATTATTTGCGCCTTTCATTTCTGCTCCTTATAAATTAATACTATGAACATCTCGTTTGCTACAATTGCTGTTTTCAAGTAACTCGTAAGTGAGATATCAATAAATTATTTCGCAAATTACTCACTTTTCATTTATTTTTAAACGCTTTTTTACTTTTTCTTGTTTAACTTAAAATAATTCAGTTTGAATTAATTGGAGTTAAGTTGTCAATAAATGGGCTGACAAAGGATCGATTTTCGCTTATCGAGGGCCAGATTTTTTCAATATACAAGGTGCGCCAGAACTCGCGCCCCAGAGGAAAATTTCAAGTAAGATAAGATCGAAAAAATTGTATCTGTCAAAAAATTTTGATGTTTATTTTTTGACATTTGACATTTTTTATGTCTATTTGATGATACTGAACATCTTGTATATGTTTTTTTTACAATTATTTCGTAAAGATAGAAAAATTTTGCCAATAAAAGCCACAAATAAGATTGAACAGAGTTACAATTTAGGATATACAGCGTCCTTGTTTTCTCTTCTAATAGCCTGTAGCAAACAAACTTGGAAAATTATTTTTCCAACAGAAATAAATAGAGTCAAAGTGCAAAATTAAAACTCTCATAACTTCGAAATTTCTATAGATAAAACTTTTTTAACATTTTTTCCATATTCCTGGTATCTTACCTTATATGGTATTTTTCTCTAGGGCGCGAGTTCTGGCGCATCCCTGTATAATATAATTATCATTCTAATGTTTCTGTAGACTAACTTTTTTAAGAAAAAGTGTTTTATGAGCTTTAAAAATAGAGCTTTTTAGTCGTTTTGTATAGATGGTTTTATGTTTTTGACAATCTGAAGATTTTTGAAACAATTTTTTTTTTGTAAAATGGTCATTGGCTACCGTGTGAAATAAATAAACATGTACAAAAAAGTCTAAAACATTGACCTAAAACTAAGGTCCATCAATAACACAAATTCTCCTTTAATTTGACACACGATGCATAGCAAGTTAAACAACAAAAATGTTTCTAAAAAACATAATTTTAATAAATGGCAACTTAAAGAAACAGCTTTAAGATAAAAAAAACAGTCATTTTTAGCAAGAACTGTCATTATTCAATTATGAATTAATTGTCAAAGTGACTTATAGTTGTCAAATAAATAAAACCGCCAATGATAAGATTTAAAAAAATCTGAGAAAAAATATAAAATAAAAAATAACTTTTCTTTTCACTGAATCCCAAAAGTTAAGTTCTCATGATCGTTCCCTTAGATACATAGGGTGAAAAGTGGTATATAACTAAATATCTAAATTTTTCAATTTATATACATGATTTGACATCTGATAAAATTAACCTCAAAATTTTCAATTTTTTTTTTTAAATTTCGCTGACGATCATGAAAAATGTTGTTTGATACACGTGCGCTGTCTTATTTTTCAAGTCTTCGACCTCCACTGCAGCAAAATTCGGTCTCAGACCTGAAAAATAATTTGACAGCACCTTTTTTTCAAAAATAACTATTTAATTACAGTTTGGCTCGTTGTAAACTCAACCCGGGGACACCCGTATATTTCGGTTTTCTTTATTTGCCAGTGCCATCTATCGGCTGCTCGATTATCTCCCATAGCCTTAATATCATCATCATCATCATTACAGTGTTTTTTTACTTTTGAAAAGTAAAAACAATATTTGATTATGCATAAGACCTCATGATTGTTTGCCAACAGCAAACACAATTTATCTTAATTTTCTCGTTGTGGGGGTTTCGACTTTTTTCTAGCGCCGTGTAATAATAAACCCAATTATCAAGTGATGGATCAAATACTCCATTCGCTCTCTTACAAATGTTTTTGTAACCTGATCCATGATGTTAAATAGTGTCACTTAACGGACACTTAATTTTTTCAAATCGATGATATGCCATTTGTCAAGGGCTTAACTTCTTCCTGGTGGTAGTGCTGCTTCGAATATCTTTGACACGCAACGCCTGAAGCTGATATATCACTAACTAGAAGGCATTCCGTTCTTCCAAGTCTTAAATGATTGCGTAAACAAATAGGTATAGAAAGAAATAACACGTTTGTTCGTCGTGCACAATCCGTAACGGTCATAAAAATACTTCAATGAGATATTAATTTATGATAATAATTAATTGCAAAATATTTGCAACTTCATTGGCAACGGCTTCGACATTTCGAGAGATTGATGCGCCCTTGGCTTGTAATGAGAACTGTCACGTAAACTGTCGGTTAAGTATTGGTATGCATCTTCTACAGAGATAAATATACGGCAATTTTAATAATTCATATGTTAATTTTTCGTTCGCTGGAAGATTTCACGACAGCAAATTTACAAATTGAAAACTCTTGAAACACAATTTTAACAGCAAATTAGGAGTACGTTTACAGCATGTTCCAAATATTTATTATGATAAAATAAAAATCAATATTTTTGAATAAAAAGTGATAAAAAGTGTGTGTTTATTGGTAGCACTAAAACTAGATTAATTTGCTTTCGATTATTTTTAGAACATTTTTTATACATAAATATTACAAGTATTACTATTCTTCTGGTGGTAGAAATCCTCATTATAAGTGACAGTTTAATCTGTTACCAACCCATTAGCAAAAAAACTAAATTATGACAGATTATTTATGATTTTTTTTCATTTATGATGATTTTTTTGAGTTGAAAAGGAATATKTAAATG